TATATCAATAAATCAATAAAAAGCTTTTATTTTGTCTTTTGCATCCCACTTTCTAATACCAAACTATCCCTTTTAGTAAATATCTGAATCGAATCAAGATGATGTTTAGAACAATGGTTTTGGAACCTGCACACATGCTTACCCATCCGTCATCTTGCTTGTTATGAGCTTATTCAACCTGTTTAATCCACAAAGAGTGAGCCGATCACTCCCATTTTAATCCAATCAATGTCAGCCTTCACAGAACCTGACAACAGGAGGATCAAATGAATCTATGCTGAGAGATAATTTAAAAATGTACTTTAAAATCTTCAAATGACCTAATTTTTGGAAATATCGTAATACTAGACAACTTTACCTTTAAGGATTTTATCCTATGTTTTCTATTCTATTCAATTCTATTCTATTCTATACTTCCGGTTTGTAAATGTACTTACAGTAGGTGTATTTGGGAATCAAAGTCATCTTCTGGGGACTTTTATCTTCTGTTGTGCATTTAGCCTTTGAAATCTCTATTATTTTCCTGACAGTATTAAATCTTTTTTTTTTGTCCTGAAATTTCAAACTTAAAGTACTGTATCTGTTTATGTTTGTCATTATTGACAACAAACAGTTTTTCAAATATTAAAGAAATTAGGGCTGAAACAATCAAATTGATCGTGATTCAACGATTATTGAAATAATCATCAGCTAATTCACTTATAGAATGATCGTTAACTGCAGTTTACGGACTGTACGCCTGTAGCACTTAGGGCAGTAATTGTATCAAAATTGTAAAAAATTATGTAAACATTTTGCAAAAATTGGCTGTCATTATGTTCTATCCAGAACTACAACAGAAGTTTTAGTGTTACCTGGTTTACTTTGTAAAAAATCTTCTTTAAAGAACCGTTGGCTATCTGATTATGACTCAATTAATGGGAAAAATAATCGGCATATTAATCACTTTGCAAAAATAATCATTAGTTGGAGCCCTAAAAGAAATCGTGGACAGCGGGAAAACAATGGGACATTGTGATGAACGCCAAGAAAGTTTGGTGTTGAGTTGTTTATATATATATATGTATTAATACTTGAGTACTATCATCTACAGAAAGATTTTTAGATGAATTAGCTTTATTGATGTTCCTAAAAGAAAATGTCTCTATTTAAATGAATACAGCTTTGTTCTGTTAGGCCAAAGGGTCTGATTTTGTTGAGTTTTCTCCTGAAGACACGTTATGCTGAGTTTTGTGGTGTAGATCATGAGTTGTTGTTTTTAACAGAAACTGCATAGCAACATTTCCCCACCATTTCTATAGATCTATTTAGTGAAGCACATGGGCAACTATTATTTATCATCATAAAAGTGTTTTTATGGAGTTCCTCTCAATCTCATAACTTAGATAATCTTGTTATGCCTTATTGATAGAAATTACTTTGATACCTCTGAGCTATTGCATATAGATTGGGTCATCAGGGTTACTCAAGTTTGAAATTATCCTTTCTCTAACAAACTAAAACGTGAAAAATTATCTCTTTAGCTCTTTTCTGTTGGAGAAAAAGGCAGTAATATTCCCTAAGAGACTGAAACAATATGTCACATGTTATCTGCTTTTGAGAGGAGATGAGAGGATATTTTTACACACTAATGGAACCTGGGGTCCTCCCTGTGTATTTCTAAGCTTTGGGAGCGTGAGCGCGCGAGCACGCACACAGATATGCGAAAAACACGCACTTTCTCTGCAAATCAATAATCTCATCGGTGATCAACAAATGAAGCATGTGGTTAAATCAAGAAACTGATTGAAAACAGAAACAGAGATAAATGCATGTATGAAAAAACTTCAAGGTGCACCAAAAATCCAGAATCAAGCTGTTGATCGGATCGGGCACGTCTTGCACGTTTGGTGCACAACCAGTGAAGATTCGCGCAGTCTTCAACCAGGCTGCAAAGTAAAGAAATTAACACACAAAATTCAATTTAAAAATAAAATGTCTTACCCATTTCTTCAGCTCGTTTGGAAACTTTCCCCTGAGACAAAAACAGTGTGAGATGCGCTCCACAGGTTGTCTGAGCCAAACCACTGGACGTCCCGTTGAAGAATCAAGAGAGGGGAGGGGGTGACGTCACGGCCTGCGACTAGAAATAGATGTGAAAATGTGAAAGCCCTTTGGGAAACTCCTCCAACTCCCATTGTCATTGTGACACAGCACACACAAGTGAACACTGCACACCATGAAATTGCATTTATGCCTCACCCGTGCAAGGGGGCAGCCCTCAATGGCGCCCCAAGGGAGCAGTGTGGCGGGACGGTACCATGCTCAGGGTACCTCAGTCATGGAGGAGGATGGGGGAGAGCGCTGGTTGATTACTCCCCCCACCAACCTGGCAGGTCGGGAGTCGAACCGGTAACCTTTGGGATCCAAGTCTGACACCCTTACCTTGGATGAAATGCTCCATCCAACCATCAATCTGAGGCTCTGAGTTTATTAATCCAAAGAGACATGCGTCCTGAACAGATTTGCATGTATCACCAAATAAATTGAGTGAAGAAATGCATTTTTAAAAATGTTTAGTTTACACAAGGGCACTGTTATCACAATGCTGAGCTGGTTTCATGAAAAACATGTGCTATAAATATAGAATCTTCTATGTAGATTTTATCATCCAGGCAAAAAAATAGAAGACCAAAAAAAAAAAAACCTAACATCGAGGTCAAAGTTCAATAAAACATTTTGAACTATTCAAAATTTGCATTCTACCCTATATGTTTATGAGGTCTACTATTTACATTTTAGTAGGTGGTTATGGGTTTACATTTTACAGGTAAATAATGTAGAGCCTCAGATTGATGGTTGGATGGAGCATTTCAATATAATCTGGAAATATTAATATTTAAGTCATAATTTATGGGGGTTTTTCACACTCATCCAGAACATTAAACAAGTTGATATAAAATTCCACACTGTGGAAACATTAAACATACCCCATTTCAATCTGAAAAACTCACATGAAGAGAAAAGACAATTAGGAGAAATTTATTAAAAAAATTAATTTGCCTTTGGTGGTCAGACCTCGGTAGGAAACATAGCGCTGAATTTTGATAGATATGCATGAACAGGACCAAAGAATAGGGCTGTCAGGGCTGAAACTGGTGGTGGAGTGGAGATAGAGGAAGTTGGTCAGTCTGTAGACTGCTGGTTAGTGAGACGGTCTGCTGAGCTTTATGGGGAGATCCAGCTGATACTAGAGCTTCACTCAGGGACCTGGAAGATGGAAGTCCAGCTTGCATAACACAGGTTGAGAGAACCTGTCCATGATGAGCAAGCATGAAGCGATAGTGGAGAGGAAAACCTCTGGCAGAACCAGGTTCAACATGGCGGTCTTCTGTCGGACGGGTTAAGATGAGACAGGGAACGCAGTAAGAGTCCGAGATGAATGACACTTGATGAAGCTTTAGCTACGATGGTGGAGGAGGGGCTGGAGGTGGGTTGTAACGGTGTCATCTGAATGAAGTCACACAGCGCATCAGCCGCCTGCGCACAGGAGCAGACAAGTGCGGATCAGAGGCCTTTTAAGATGAACTTTGGATGCCGATTGGCTTTCATGGAGGTGTCGTTCAAAGCTGATTGGCTGTGTCGCAGGTGGATGTAGGAGAGCAATAAGTTTCTTCAGTTGTACTTCCACCTAGGCTCCATTATTGCTGCAATGACACTGCTGCTAATGTGAAGGTTTGGGTTGACTAGAGTGTAAATGTTAAGCTCTGGTTGGAGATTTCATTTGTGAATGAGCTACTGACTGTAACGTCTTTTGCATATTTGCACATCTGAATCAGTTTTCAGTTTCTGCAGCCAAATTCAATATTCATTTTAAATCATAATTTTACTTCTACCTGCTTTTATTGTTTCACTTCACTCTGTTTCTGTTTTAAAGGTATTCTGCGTGTTTAATTGGACAAAATATAATTTTCCTACAGGGATCCCTCAGTGGTTATGATACTCTGATAGGAGATTCTGATAGGTAGATTTTTACTGTTTGCAACATTGTAAAATGTAATTTGCTGGATGGAAACCCAGAACCTTTGGATTAAACTAATGAACTAATGTCTGGTTGAATAAAGCATTATGTTAGGTTTGTGACATGGTGTATTATTCTGGGTGCATTGTGGTCATAAAGGGATAAGGCTCTTCAAAAAGGCTCAACTAAAACTAATAGACTTAAGGTGCACCAAGAATTACCCCTTCACCATGATACCACCACCACCAGCCTGAGTTCTTGGGTTACGGGACAGATTTCTAATCTGATATTGTTCAATTTTTATGCGCTTGTTTTTATTTAGATCCTGTTTTTTTCGTTAAAACTGAAAAAAGACCAATCAAGCTTCTTCAGGTTTTGCAGTCAGAGATGTATTTTTTTTAAAAGTTGTGACTAGTATTCGTTTGATTGCTGTTGGATTTCTTGCACCCAGCTGCCTCTTATTTGTATGTTTTCCTTTTGAGATCTTAAGAGTTTGAACTTCAGCTAAGTGCCTGATGTCATTATGTTAAATTACTACCCCATGAATGGCTTGTAATGGTTTACCTTTGATGTTAAATGGGGGCAGAAGGAGAAACTAATGACTGAAGAGTACTAACATACAGAAGGTCCCTTTTATTTTCTCTATACATGTAAAAAAATACCTCAAGGTTAAATTATTTGAATTTAGGACGATGTTTCTTAGCTAAAAAAAAAAAAAATCACCCAACAAGCAGTTATTTTATATATAAAAAGCTTTATTAACTACTTTTCTGTAAAGATACACAAACAAGGTAAAATACAGGTCAAAGCTCTTGAGAAGACACATGAAAGTTATTCAAAGTAATGTCACAAACAAAGCTGGATTTAGAGGAAACAAAACCAACCACTCTGAACTTGGGTTGAAAAGTGGAAAATCTGAAGCAGCCATGCAGAGAAGCGTCTGTTTTACTGCTAAAAATAAGCTGACAGGCCTAAAGGGAGCTGAAAGATCAGCAAGGTGGAGGGGAAACAGAGACAGATCAGGAGGAAACACACATACCCCTGTGCTTTGAATATATTTACATCAGCACCAGGGACAGGGCTCACGTACAGTAAGCCTGACCTTTCCCTGACCCTGAAACAGAAGCCTGTCTGCCTTTCCTCCACTTAGAATGGTTCCTAACCTTCAGCTCTACATGTCCAGCTAACTCAGTCATCATCCGTTACAGAACAAAGATGCTGACTCTTGGGGAGATCAGAGTTCACAGCTTCAGCGGGATGACAGGCCAATATTTGGGCTGCTTCCGGTCACAGTTTCTGTCGAACGTCAGCTGCATGGCCGCCTCCATGGCCAGGATCTTTGCCGCATCTTTCCCATAGAGCTTCTTCATCTCGGCGGCTCGCCTCTCGCCTGGTCGGTCAGAAGGGGGAGCGGCGCTGCTACGGTTGGAGACGCCGTGCAGGTCCTGATCGGCCAGTACGTAGCCCTCCTGCTGCTCTGCTTCCATCTGCTGCTGCCTCTCTGCAAAAAAAAAAAATTTTATTAAAAATTTCTGCTACTTTGAAAGTAGTTGGAAGCGCTTTTATTTGTCTCTACACCCCACCATGACTTACTCAGCTCCTCTCTGTGTCTCTCGGTGTGGGCGAAGTACTGCCGGAGCTCCTCACTTATCTCCATGTTGCTGACGTCACATTCGATGTCGCTATCCGAGCTGCTGTCATCCTCTCCATCGTCTGCGTCGTCGCTGCCGCTCCCCCCAGCCTGCCAGTCGGCATAGCGTCGCTGGCTGCTGGGATATCCCTCATGTGGGGGGGCTGAGCCATAAGCCGCCTCCAAGGCCTTACTGTAGGCCCGCCTGTGTCTCTGCTGCCAGGCCATGGCCTGTCGGTAATGCTGCCAGTAGCGGCTGTACACAGGGCTGGAAAACCAGGACATCACAGCGCTGACGTCCTCCTGCAAAGACATCTTAACTTTTAGAAATCCTTAAATTTAACAGAAAAGCTATCTAAAAATAAATAAAAATTATTTTAATTAGCATATTTACCCTTAGGTTAAGTAGGCAAATAATATGATCTGCTAATGTAATAAGATAGATATTATAGACTTGAAATAAGTTGTTTTTTCCTAATGTTAATGTGTTTAAATGTTAAGTGTCTCAATTACCTCCTTAATTCAAGAAAAACTGACTTAATTGGATTTCAGTTTTTCAAAATGAAAACAATTTTATTCATTTTTTTTAAAATTAGGATTAGGCATTAAATTTCTTCTTTGCAATTTTTTCTTTGTAATTTGCCAAATAGTTATACTAAGAAATGCCGAAGCAGGTTAGCCACACAGCTAGAGAGAATAGCTTGCTAGATCATAAAATTATTTCATTTAATCCAATGAAATTGATCAAGTACAGTATGTTGTTAAAACTTGAAATAAAAATCGTTAAAAGTACATCTTGGCTTTTTTCTGCAAAGAAAAAACCTCAGAAGTTGGGTGTTGAAACTGTTTTTTGTTTTTTAGTGTAAAGCATGCAAAGTCATTTTGGCTTCTTCTGCAGCTTCAAATGTTTAACGCTGATTTTTGGAGTATGAAGAGCAGCTGATATACGGTGACATTTCAAGCCTTTTATAGGTGTGAAAAGCTCTGAAAGATTGCAAGGAAATGCAGATATGACCTCAGTAGATATCTTCTACCAGCAGAAGGTTGTTTTGATCAGGTGTTGTTTTAACACAAACAGCAAGAACTGAAGTGGGCAAGAAAAGGTTAGATATTTAGCCCCCACTTCCTGAAATTCACAATCAAGCACTTTTGGCACTCGGTGAGTTTAAAATCCTCTCTTTATTTCACTGCAGTCAATTATTTCTGTGTGTATGTTTTATGAGAGAGGTTGTTTTATCTGTTGTACCTTTTTATTTATTTATTTTTTTTATTTAACCAGGGACAAAAATCCAATTGAGATTAAAAACCTCTTTTTCAAAAAGAGTCCTGGCCAAGAGGCAGCAAAGTTACATAATAAACAGAGAAACATTAAAGTAAATGACCTGTACATAAAAAAAACATATCAAGTAAAACAATACCAGATCATTGAGGCTGCTTTCACTTTCAACCTAAAAGCATTTAAAGACAGAAACTCAGTCAACTTCAAGTTTCTTTGTAAAAAAAATCTAACTCCTTATAAGCTGCTGCAAGAGTTTTCCAGTCTAACTTGAGCTAACCTGGTTAAATAAAGGCTAAATATAAATTTAAAGTGGGTTTCTTTATGTAGTATAGTCCAAAATGCATCAGTTTGTTTTCTTTTTTTCCTTTTTTATAGTTTTCTAAAGTATATTTATTTTGAAATGGGCCTTTCTCAGGGAGGAGGCTGCCGAAGCAAAGACTAAAAAAGAAAAAATTATTTTTCCAGTTGACAGTAAAGCTCTCTTACCATGTCTGAATGGAAGCAGCCTTCAGTCTTCAGCCTGTGGACACAGAAACATCTTTTACTTCCTGTTGTTGTTCCATATAATGTGACGTCACGTGCGACACAGTTTGTAGCGGCAACAATAGGTCCACATGATGCGGCTCCACATATCATAGAAAATATTCAACAAACACAGTATTTCTAGCCAAGGTTTACACAAAATATGACATGTTTACCTCTCTGTTAGCGCCGCATGATGCCGACCTCCATATTGAAAATTTCCCAGCAGCCTTTGAGCGAAAGGAAATCAATTACCGAGTATTTTGCTCCCTCTGGTGGACAAATGTGGATTGTGTTTAATGTGAAGACATTCCACAAGAAGTCGGGGCAGAGGAAAGCAAGAAAAGAAAGAAACAAACAAACAAAAAAACAAAAACAAAACAACAATAACACAGAGCAATATTTATCATTTAGTCGCATTAGCTCCTACACAGAATAAAGACCAAATTTCCACATTATTGAGTTTAATTAAAATTTTATGCTGTTCCAACTGAAAATCTGTATTTTTAGTTTCTAAAATGTTGAGTTAAGTAACAAAAAAAATCCTTTACCATGGAAAAAAAATCAACTGAAATAACTAGTTGCTAAGTGAATATTTATTAAAAGATAAAAAATTTTTGTTTTTTTTTTCTTTTTGGAACATCAGGTAAATGAACATTAGCAGTTAAGGAATATACATGTTTTTGACTTACCAGTTAAAAAAAAAAAAAAAAATTGATAAAACAGAATTCAGCTGCAATAAATTGTGATTTTTTATTTTGTTCAAAAAATTATATTTAGCAAATATAAACTGTGATTCGATGTCAATACAAGTGAGGCTATCAGTTTTATTTTAAAATCATAATTAAAACAGAACTGGAAAGAAAAAAAAAAGAAAATAGGTCGATGTCACTTCAACTGTTTTCCAGTGCAGATCATCATTAGAATGATTTTTAGCATTATGTCTTCAGTACAGGGGCAATAGAGGGTCCAGGGGCACTTCCTGCCATTGGCCCCTGTCTAGAGCCACCCTTGAGAAGTTGTTCAAGCTTCATCATTCATTTAAGTTCATGCAACATCATAATTAATTGAATTTCAAACCTGAATTATTTTAGGGACTTCCAAGCCGTTCATTTCCTGGTTTTTTTTAACTATTCTGAGTGGCACTTATTGGTGGGATTAAGGACAATTCCATGAGGGAGTCCAGATCCTGAAGCTTCAAAGCAGCAGAAAATCACAGAAAAACAGCAACTCTTTTAAAAATTACCTCTTCTTACATTTCAGTCAATATAAGAGTTTCCAAATTGAGAGACATCAATATATCTTTTTTATTATTATAGTTTTATAATTTTTTGGCAAGTGGTAGTTTTAGAACCATTCTTGTCAATGAATTGTTAACTCTGACACTGGTTGAATGCTTGTGAGTTCAGCAGATGTTCAGATTTTGCTCTGGATTGTTTTGTGAAATGCTGGATGGATAGTGGAGTTATTTGGCCTCTCTGCCACAGGTTCAGTTTACCACTGTTTCATGTTTTCACCATCTGTGTGGCTTTCTCCACATTTCACTTGTGGGCCAATAAATTCCAGGGCCTTTATTCCTCTTCTACTCTATTTAAATTACCCTCAGTTTCTTTGTTCTCTTTTTTTTCTTGGTTCCGATAAAGCGGGCTATTGGGGCGCTTCCCGTCATCATCTTGTTTAATACCCAGAGTTTGAAGTTAAGGGCGAAAATCTAATGTCCAGACATTCTCCTTCAGGATTTGGCGTAGAAAACCTTCTTTTTCAATGCTATTAGTTTTATATGCACCTTCCAAAACTCTTGCCTTTGTCAAAATGTCAAAATGTCTCCCATTTAATCAGAGATGGGAAGTAACGAAGTACAAATACTTCGTTACTGTACTCAAGTAGATTTTTCTAGTTTTTACTTTACTTTACTACTTATTTTTATGGCGACTTTTTACTTCTACTCCTTACATTTTTACACAAATATCTGTACTTTCTACTCCTTACATTTTAAAAAATTGGCTCGTTACTTTAGTTTTGAATCATTTCAGTGGAGTTACCGTTATTATTTTTCACGTCATCAATACCAAATTTAATCTAATTTGATGGGAATCTACGTTGCATTTGACGCACCACTACAAAATGAATCAACAGATTCGGTGGTATTCATTCGCGGCAAATCATTGCAGCTTGGTGGCGGTGGCGTTAGCATAGTAGCATGGACGACGAGATGATTGAAAATGAACACAACGGAGATCTAGTCCTATTGGCAGACATCCATTTAAAATGTAGGCAACGGCATGAAAAAAGTGGTTTCTACTTTTACTTTTATACTTTAAGTAAATTTACAAGCCTGTACTTTGTTACTTTTACTTGAGTAAAGAAGTTTAATCAGTACTTCCACTTTTACCAGAGTATTTTTTAACACAAGTATCTGTACTTTTACTCAAGTACGGAAAGTGAGTACTTTTGCCATCTCTGCATTTAATAAATGTGGGATTATCCTTTGTGTTCAGGAGCCACACCTTCTAAAGTTTACCCTGAATTTTGGCTCTCACTGTGCCTAGCTAGAAGTTCAAGGCCTTAAAAATGGCTTTCTAACAATAGAGTAAATAGTATTTTTTCATTTCTTCAGATGGGCAAATGGTGTGTTGCTCTTTGGAATCCATTGGCCTTTGGCCTACTTCCTGCTGTCAAAAGGGTTCCATTAAGTAAATTCTTGGTTTGAGATGTCTCCCTGTTATTGTTTATTGTAGTTGAAGTCTAATTTAGCAAGCTACTGGTTACTTTCCACATAGTGCCCGATTAGGTTGAATTACCTGGTTCCGTAATGAACAAAAGCATAACCTGAAAACTCTCTTTTGCATTTAGTCAACTTCTGTTCATAAGAATTATGATCTAAAACGAAAACAGAAGAAACAAGAAGTGGCCAAAACATTTTTTCAAAGCTCTGGATATGATTTGGAAGCTAAATTTAACTCAGAATATATTATCCCACATTTTTATATTTGATATTTGACTTATTGGTGATTAGCTAATGCATTTCATGTTAAAAAATAAAATCAATAATTTTTTGTAATATTTTTTATCAAAGTGAAAGGCACCCTTTAATAATTTGATGACCTTCAGCAGCTCCTAAATATCAATCAAGAACTACTTAGTGAGTTTTTCATTGTTTTTAGTAGTTTCTAGGTGTAATTTTCTAACTTCCTCTGCAAGTTTCCCTTAAATTTTTAAATGAGATATTTATTCACAAATCATATGTTATTCAGATCATATAGCAAGCATTTTTTTTAGTAGAACTTGCTTTAATATTTATATAGAAGCTCTAGTGTCATCAGACCTTAATCTGGTTTCTGCATTGAAATCAGCTGAGATGCAGAATAGGAGCATCTGTTCTTATTGGTCCAACAGAACCTATTTCTTTTAGTAATAAATTGATTGAAAGGGGAGCTGGTTTAACGTGTGTTTGAGCTCGACTATTGAGACGTCTTACTAACAGGATATAAACCCAGCAGCTTCGGTGGGCCTGACTGCTGTTACACTTGTTTCGTCATATATGTAGGTCATACTTTGGCTGCAGGCTTCAAAGCTTTCAGAGGAAGTGAAAAAGGACTTGCATCTTATTTGAACATCTTCTCTCCTGTAAAGTAAAAACCGTAACATATGAAAATTGCAAACCTTAATTTGAATTCTAACATTGGCTTTGATTTTTATGGAAGAAGCGACAATATGTGCTACAAATATAACCCATCCGCTTAGTTTTTCTGCTGAATACACCTGATCCTGCAAAGTATAACACATTACAAAAAAATTAAATGGACTGGTGCATATCTATAATAATAATAAAAAATAACCTTTGCACTTGTCTGCATATTTATTATGGAACTGTAGCTCATACTGTAGGATGCATATAATTCTGCTCATTGCAGCAACAGTTTTTCCATATATGCAGTTGCTCATGGCGGTATTTGACATTGAACACTAAACCTAAATAAGTATTGTGATCTTTTTCTGACACACTATGTAGTAAAAGGGTGGTGTCTGACTGAAGCCCACATTATCTCCTACCTACACCACAAACTGTTCTTGCTCCAGAGGTCTGTTAGAGAGACTGAAAAAGGTTCCATGAAATCTCAAGACTATCAATGGATTCTTGAGAGAAATGTTTTTCCCAGTGTCAGAAAGCTTTGTCTCAGTCACAGGTCATGGGTTTTACAACAGGATATTGACCCACAACACAGCTAAACAGGCAAGAATGGCTAAGAGGAAAACATTGGACTCTTCTGACGTGGCATTCTATTTGAGCCCTAACCTGAACATCTTTGAAAGTAGCTGAAATTTCCCACCTGGAAAAGGCAGCCTTTAAACCTGAGACAACTGGAGCAATTTGCTCAAGAGGAATGGGCCAAAATACCTGCTGAGAGGAGTACTGATGGCTACAGAAACCATTTGTATAAAATGATTACCTGAAAAGGTTGTGCAACAAAATTCTATGTGAAGGTTACAATATTTTTTGTCCAGTTGTTTGTTTCATGGGTTTCATTTTTAAAACCATTCTTTTGAAGCAGGGTTAATAATCAATACAATAGAAAAGAATAACACAGAATAGAAAATCTCTTTATTGTCCCACAATAGGGAAATTCTAGTGTTATAGCAGCAAAAAGATTATAGAAAAAAATATCACACAAATGTGAATCTTAGAAAAGATTGTATTTTTGTAAAAATATTTTAGTATTTTATACAAATAAAATACTGTACTGTAAAGTGTTTTAACAATACAAATAGTGTGCACCTAAATAAATAACAAATATTTTGACAGTAATGGATATTTAAAAATAGCAGGAAATTCAAAGATGTGAAAAATGACGTCAGCATGTTGTTAAACTGACTAAGAAAGAAACTGTACAAAATCAGCATGAATGTAACAACTTGTTTAGGGTGTTGGGAACAGTGGTGGTTACAAAGTTTGACAGCTGCTGGTAGGAAAGATCTGTGATAACACTGCAGGGTGCATTTAGAGTGCAGCAGTCTGTCACTGAAGGAGAAGTCAAGTTCAGCAACAATAATGTCTGACTTTAATTTTTTTCCAATTAAATAGATTAAATAGATCTATTACTTTTGTCAGATTCAGGTTATTTCTGTGACCATTGTATGTTTTTCCTTTATTAAATCAGGGATAACAACAATTTTGTGCATATATATAGGTGCTTTGTGGTCGTCCACACTATTTTTCATCTTGAGCCAGAACAGCAGGT